CCCCCCACCGCCCCTCACCCCAGCTGCTCCCCCCACCAGCCCTCACTTCAGCTCCAGGGCCGGGACCAGCGACACCTGGCAGCTTTCTGACCAGAGCCCGCTTGCCCCCTCGGCTCTGGGCCTTAGCCCAGGCTGTACCCTCTGCTGCACCCCTTTCTCTCCCCTTCTCCTGGCTCAACTCAGACCCTACCTCCTCCAGGGAGCCTGCCCTGACTCCGTCTAGGGGCAGTAGCCTCTTTTCCTGATTGGTGCCTCCATCTCACCCCAGTGTCCCCTCGATCGCTCTGCTGCAGCCTCACCAGCCTCCTTTCTGGCTCAGGATGTTGGCACTCACTGTTCCCTCCGCCCTGAACCCCCTCTCTCTGCTCTCCATACTCGGAGCACCTCCCCACCCTTCACAGCCCGCATTCCAGCAGCTTTGTCTCATCTCCGAGCACCAGCTAATACGCTGCTCGTTCTGCGTCTATTGCCGGTTGTCTGTGTCCCGCACGAGAGGGCCCCCTCCCTGAGGGCCTGACGGAGTTGTCTGTTTTCTCCACTGCTGACTCCCTGGCCCAGAACAGTCCAGGCATAAAGTAGGAGGGGCAGGGGTCATTAGCTGGATGCACGAAGAATGGCTTGTTGGCCGCTGTGGGAGGGTTTGGCTGGGAGCATCCAAGGAGGACCCCCTGACCCACCATCTGCCACCCCCAGAGCCGGCTACCTGACTCTGTACGGAGTCGAAGCCTTGCCACGCACCCACGAGAGCCAGGCCCAGGACCGCACCCACTCAGCCGAGGTCTTCCACACCTTCCGCCAGCTCGACCTACTCCTCCCCAAACTGGCACGTGGCTCCCTGTCAGCGGGTAAGCACTGTGGGGACCCTGGCGGGCGGTGGAGCGGACAGAGGGACCCAGAGGGGGAGCCCACCCTCAAGCTGAAGGATCACAGGCAACATGGGAGGGAAGGACATTCTCATGCCCTGAGCAGCAGTGAGATCCCTTCACTGGGGGTATGTAAGAGCACAGTGGTGGGGGTTCTATGAACCTTCTTTGTACCCGCCTTCCTTGGCACACCTGCCTTCATCTCCCTTAGTCATCAGCCCTCCGCTCTTATGACTTTGGTCTTGTGCACCGAAGGAATTGTCCAGCCGTGTAGCATTTTCACCAAACTGCACATCTAGAGTGTTTCCACTGGGTTTGTGAAAATCCACCCCGTTGATTTCTGTGGCTGCAGAGGGGACTCGGAATTGGTAAAGAGCTTCCTGCAGGCCTCCGTGCACAGGGGCCGTGAACCACTGGGCTGCGCTGCCTGCTGGCCACAGTGTCTCAAACTTCTCTCGCGAGAAGAATCCTCTTGGCCCTTGTTAATAATACAAGCCCACAAGTCCCTTCCGGTGCACTTGAATCTGAGTCTCCGGGGAGGTCGGGAAACAGCATGTATTACAAGTGGCACAGGAAGGTTGAGACATCAAGTGTGTCCTGGACTCAGGCACTTGCATCAAAATCTGGATTCAGATCCCCACCGCGGGGCTTCCGAGCTGATGACTCGGGGCCAGTTACTGCACTTCTTTCTGCCCCAGATCCTTTCTCCAGAGGGGCAGTTGAAGGAAGTAACTGATACAGACTCCGCTCAGACGGCTTGAGGTGGTTTACTGGCTCCTGTATGGTGTCCCTGCGCCTCAGCGATCTCACCTGTAAAATTGGGAGACAGTAGGTTCTTCCTACAGGGTGACTGTTAGGAATGGCTGAGGTAATAATTTAAAAAGCCACTTCTCTGTTGAGCACTTTGTATGTACTGGGTATCATAGGTTAAGTGTGGCCTCGTTCAGGCTCACAACAGCTCATCACCCCGTTTCCTTTATTTATGTAGTTTTTAAAAACCACACTGTAGCACATTAGATTGTTTAAATTATGAAGGAAGCATCCTTGTGGTTAACAACTCAAAGATGTACTCAGTAAAAGTAATAATACTCTTTCAAGCCCAGCTTCCTGTGGGAACCAGTGTTAACATGCTGGAATGTATCCCTGCACACTGTTTTGTAGGATGCTCTGTCTTACAGAGACAAAGACACATATCTAGAGGGCCACTGGGTGTATTTCAAAAAGGAATTACATCTACTATCTGCAACTTGGTTTTTTGTTTAACCTAACAATATAGCTGTGTATTCTTCCCTATCAACGTACAAACCTCTTCTAATGGTATTAGCCAATGCAATTAGATAAAGGAAATCAGTTACTGGTATAAGAATGGGTAAAGAAGGGGCACCTGGGTGGCTCAGTCAGTTAAGCATCCGACACCTCGGCTCAGGTCATGATCTCATCATTCTTGAGTTCGAGCCCTGCGTCAGGCTCTGTGCTGACAGCTCAGAGCCTGGGGCCTGCTTCGGATTCTGTGTCTCCCTCACTTTCTGCCCCTCTCCTGCTCGTGCTCTGTCTTGTTCTCTCTCAAAAATAAATAAACGTTAAAGAATTTAAAAAAGAGAGGCGCCTGGGTGGCTCAATCGATTGAGCGTCCAACTTCAGCTTAGGTCATGATCTCGCTGTTTGTGAGTTCAAGCTCCGTGTTGGGCTCTGTGCTTACAGCTCGGAGCCTGGAGCCTGCTTGGGATTCTGCATCTCCCTCTCTCTTTGCCTCACCCACACTTGCACTCTGTCTCTGTCAAAAATAAACATTAAAAATTTTTAAAAATTAAAAAAGAATGGGTAAAGAAGATGTAAGACTATCCCAATTTGCAGAAGATCTGATGCTGTGCTGGGAAAACCCCAGCAAATCCATGACAAAACTAACTCAAGTGAAAAAGACTCTGGCAAAGTAGAAGGATATAAAATCAACACAAAGAACTGAGTCATCTTTGCAGCTCTTGCAAGTCAGCATTTAGGCAGCCAGCCCCCTCCAATGGATATTTACAATTGTTTCCTTTTATGTATGTGTGGCTACTATAGTATTTCATTGTACTTGTATCTTTTCTACCATCTGGTGATTTTATTCCTCTCTGACAGTTTCCTAGAAGTGGGTTTGCCATGTCAGAGGGCATACGCATTAAAATTCTTGTTAGCTGTTGCCACACCATTTCCAAAACCCTGGAGCAATTCATACGCCTGCCGCTTGCCTAAAGGGAAGGAGTCTGCTCATTCCCCACCAGATGTTATCAGTCTTTCCATTTGTTTGCCAATCTGATGGGCAGAGGCGGGTAACTTGTTGTTTTAATTTGCATTCCCCACAACCTTGTCAACAAGCAGTTCTCAGCCTTTTAAGACCTTGCCAATCTGATGGGCAGAAAAGGGCATCTGGCTTTATGGGCATTTCCCTGATCACTGGGATGTGGAACAGCTTTTCCTGTTTCACTAGCCATTTGATTTTCCATCTCTGTGGGTTCCCATTAATTCTCTTAGAGACAGTTAATTATCTTATTGACTCCTACCATCAATGCTAAAAAGTTGATATACCCGCTTCGCAACTAAGGAAACAGGCTCAGAGAGGTGAAGTCATTTGTCAGGGACACACAACTGTCAGGTGGCCGAGCCTGTGCGTAAAGCACCTGACATCTCCTAGTATCAGTTGCTTCTCCAGGAAAGAGTGGTTTCTCCGTTGTGCTTTCCTCCAGACCCACGCTACTGGGGACTGTGGGTCATTCAGGGAGCAGCCCTGGGCTGGGTATAGGAAAGCTGCACTTCCCAGTGTGGGCAGCAGGTGGCAGCGTTGGGGAAGGTTTCTCATCTTGGGACTGGAGCCTGATGGACAGACTTTCTGCAGATTTCTCTGGGCTTGTGAAGAGGACAGCCTCTTTGGAAAAGTGATTTGGCAGAACCTGTCAAACCAGAAATGCTCATTCCCTTGCTCCTGAACTTCCACTACTAGGGATTATCCCACAGCAGTGCTTGCACACATCTAGCGATGCACAAAGATATTCATTGCCCTGTTGCTTATAATAATAGCAAATGCTGCAAACAGCCTGTATGTGCACCACTAGGGCTGATGAAGTAAGTTGTACATTCACGGGATGTACCAAAACCGTGCAGAAGAGTGGGCATACTGTGGGATTTTTTAGCTTATTTTTTTCCAGTTTTATTGAGAAATGATTGACACATGACACACGTGAGTGTAAGGTGTACAGCATAATGACTTGACTTACATATATTGTGAAATGAGCACCACAGCAAGTGTAGTTAACATCTTTGTTTTGTTTTTATTTTTTAATTTTTTTAACGTTTATTTATTATTGAGAGACAGAGCATGAGTGTAGGAGGGGCAGAGAGAGGCAGAGACAGAGAATCCGAAGCAGGCTCCAGGCTCTGAGCTGTCAGCACAGAGCCCGATGCGGTGCTCAAACTCACAAACCGTGGGATCACGACCTGAACTGAAGTCGGACACTTAGCTGACTGAGCCACCCAGGTGCCCCAACATCTTTGTTTTTTAAGAATGTGGGAAGGTATAGAGATTTTTCCTTCTGAGAAGGCTGAGATGGGATTGAGATGCCCATTTGAACTCTTTAGGGGTACTTTCTTTTTCCTTTTTTTTTTACCATGTGCACGCATTATTTCTCCATTATTAAAATTGTAAACATATTGGAGGGTCTGAGTGGCTCAGTTTGTTAAGTATCTGACTGTTTTTGATCTTGGCTCAGGTCATGATCTCATGGTTCATGAGATCAAGCCCCGCGCTGGGCTCTATGCTGACAATGCAGAGCCTGCTTGGGATTCTCTCTTCCTCTCTCTCTGCCCTTCCCCTGCTTGCACTATTTGTCTCTCCAGATAAATAAATAAACATTTAAAAACCCCATTTAAAACAAATGTATAAACAGATTTTAAAAGAAAATTGACCCTTTGGGGGATCCTTAGTTCACAGAGTCTGGTGCTTCTCATATAGGAGGGAATTGGGGCCAGGGAATTGGGCCCCACTGCTTTCTGGAACATTCGTTTTACTTTGGGAGGGGTGTGTTTTCTTTGAATATTGTTTTGGGAGGAAAGGCATTCTTATAATAAAGAATCACAGAATCTAGGGGTGCCTGGGTGGCTCTGTTGGTTGGGTGTCTGATTCTTGATTTCAGCTGAGGTCATGATCTCCTAGTTCGTGGGATCTAGCCCTGCATCCAACTCTGTGATTGGGCTCTCTGCTGTCAGCACAGAGTCCACTTAGGATCCTCTGTCCTTCTCTCTCTCTGCTCTTGCCTTGCTCGTGCTCTCTCTCTCTCTCTCTCTCAAAAATAAACAAACATGAGGGGCACCTGTGTGGCTTAGTCGGTTAAGCGTCCGACTTTCGCTTAGGTCATGACCTCGCGGTTCGTGGGTTCCAGCCCCGCGTCGGGCTCTGTGCTGACTGCCAGCTCAGAGCCTAGAGCCAATTTCGGAGTCTGTATCTCCTTCTCTCTCTGTCCCTACCCTGCTCACGCTGTCTCTCTCTCTCTCTCTCTCTCCTAGAAATAAATAAAAAATATTAAAAAAAAAACCAAACATGAAAGACAGAAAGAAAGAAAGAAAGAAAGAAAGAATCACAGAGTCTTTGACTCTGCATAAAATCTAATGCATTTTAAAGGGAAGAGACAGGACTTTAAAAAATTTTTTTTATGTTTATTTACTTTTGAGAGACAGAAAGAGACAGAGTGTGAGTGGGGGAGGGGCAGAGAGAGGGAGACACAGAATCCAAAGCAGGCTCCAGGCTCTGAGCTGTCCACACAAGAGCCCAACATGGGGCTCTAACCCGAAAACAGGAATTTAAAGATATGTTCCTCTCTGGACTGTGCTCAGGATTCTTGGACACAGAATGGCTTCTGAGGAAAAACTTGAGAGGTACTCAACTCTGGGCCTCTCGTTTTACAGACGGGAAGACTGAGACCCAATGGTGGACAGGGCCTTGGCCAAGGCCACACAGCCTGGGAGGTCTGGAACTTGGCCCTGCAGCGCCATCATGAGTTACGCAGGCCTGGCAGTTCTGATTCACTGAGTCATTACACGGGGGCTGGAAAATAAAACTTCATAATAATGGCAAGAATGTAGCAAGCATGACTTGCTAAGCCCCTACCCGTACCAAGTGTGTTCTGTGTTTTTATATCCTCCTAAAGATCCCATGAGCTAGGTTGCCCCCATTTTACAGGTGGGAGGCTGAGGCTCAGAGATCCAAATTATTTGCACAAGATCATCTTTCTAGGAAGGGGCAGAGCTAGGATTTCTACCTGGGTCTCTGGCTGCCACCTCTGTGTTCTTTATTTCCCTAATTATTATTATTTCCTAAGTATAGAAACAATACATGAATATATTCTCCGTGGACTAATAATCTGCTAACATTCGTTAGCTTTATTTAATAATATAGCTACTATTTATTAGGCCTGTGCCAGGCATCACTCTCTGTGCTTTCTAGGTTAATGCATTCAGTTTCTACACAATCCTTTGTGTGGGTACTTCTGTTATCCTAGTTTACAGGTTTGAAAACTGAGGAGTTGTGAGGTGAGGTGGGCTTTGTTGTTGTTGAACTGTAGGAGTTCTTTATATATTTTGGATCCTAGACCCTTACCAGGTCTATGCTTTGCAAATGTTTTCTCTCATTCTGCTCATTGTCTTTTAATACTGTGTTGCTTTTTAAAGTGGTCCTTAAAAGCTGTGTTGACAATGGTATTCAAGGTTTGTAATTGTGCTGTCAGACCTCAGAGACTCCTAGTTATTTCCAAACCTGTGTTAAATTTCTTTGCTTCCTTCTTTAGCTATTTCATCAGCTAACTCTTACAAATCCAGCATGAACATCAACCGAAGGGCCTTCAACACTTCCTTTACCCTCCACTTACTTGTTGAAAATCTCAATGTGCCCAGGCCCCCACCCCCCAAGATTCTGACACGATCGGTCTACAGTGGGACCTGGGCGTCCAGAGATTTAAAGCTCCTGAGTGATTCTCCGGTGCTCCCAAAGTTGAGAAACACAGGAAGATAATGTATTTCAGATGAACAGTTGGGCTCAATGCTTTAAATTGAGGAGTACAGGGGCATCTGGGTGGCCCTGTCGGTTAAGCATCCAGCTCTTGGTTTTGGTCAGGTCATCATCTCACAGTTCATGAGTTCGAGCCCCACGTCGGGGTCTGTGCTGACAGCTCAGAGCCTGGAGCCTGCTTCGGATTCTGTGTCTCCCTCACTCTCTGCCCCTCCCCCACTCATGCTCTGTCTCTCTCAAAAATAAATATTAAATATTAAATTGAGAAGTACATCATCTGAAAAGGTCTAGAGGTCGAAGAAAAGCACATGGGGCATATTATCTGAAAATGTAACTAATATGCTTAAAATACACATATATTTTAGTGGAAGTTTAGGCTACATTTTCCACCCTTTCAAATAACCCTGTAATGTGCAGCCCAGTCTAGAATCATTGGATGGGTGGGTCTTCCGGAAACACTGCTTTGTGGCTCCAAAGAGCCAGTGACAGCGTCTCTAGTCCTTGGGAATTTTGTAACAATCCAAAGCGACACCCACTTTTCCAAGGGGTGATTTTGGAAGAACTGAAGCTCTTCCTAGCATGGACCTCTGTAAACGCAGCTTCGTCTCGCAGCATGAACACAGTGGATACATAACGAGCACCTGGCTTTGCGCCTCCACCGTCTGCCCCGCCGGGCCCATCCAGATCTGAACCTCGGCCTCCACCACCTGTGGGGCTCTAGAGCGTAACACCCTGTTGTGTCCTTAATGGTGACCGTGAACCGGTGATCCGTGGGCCAGAGCCGACCTTCAGAGATGCTTCTGCTGACCTTAAAACACACGGGGAGACTCCCTGTGAGCATCTGGACTTTCTTCTTCTGAAAACTCGGGCTCCCTGGCCGTGCTGGGACGAGGTCCTCTGTCAGGCTGGTGGTCGCCCCCACCTCCTCGTCCCCATGGCCCCGTTCTGGCCCTCTGCCTTCATTTACTTTACCTGCCTTCCCCGGAGGTAGTTGAGTTTGAGACCTCTGGACCCGTCTGTCCCCTCTCGATAGCAGTTAGGCTATTTCCCGTGTCTCCTGGACACAGCCGTGGGGCGTCGGCTCATACGGTCTCCTCGGGCACACGGGCTGGCGTCGCTCTGGGCTGGGACCCTAGGAAGGGGGAACGCCACTCCGCGTTTCCTGTTCCTTCCCTTGCTGTGTCAGAAACACTATTCATTTAATGCATGTTGACAGAGCACCTACTATGGGCCAGAGGCTGGAGACACAGAGGTGAGCAACACAGGGCCCCTCACTCCTGTCCCCCGGGGGGGAGACAGGTAATAACAAGTTGGCATTTATTTTTTTTTTAATGTTTTTATTTATTTCTAGGAGAGAGAGAGAGACAGCGTGAGCAGGGGAGGGTCAGAGAGAGACGGAGTGACAGACTCTGAAACAGGCTCCAGGCTCTGAGCTGGCAGTCAGCACAGAGCCCGACGCGGGGCTCGAACCCACGAACCGCGAGATCATGACCTAAGCGAAAGTCGGACGCTTAACCGACTCAGCCACCCAGGCGCCCCAACAAGTTGGCATTTAAAGGCCTTTCTTGGACCCTCTTTCCCCACCCCCGAGGAGTGACACCCAGAAGACCCTTGGCCTCACGGGACATCAGCCTGGGTGGCCCGGGGCCAGGGCTGGATCTGTAACCCCCTCTGTGCTCTGTCCCTGTAGGGGATAAGGACCACGTGTGCAGAGTCAAAGGTCGCCTGTGGAAGCTGTTGTCCCCGGCCAGCCTTGCCGCTCGGGCCCACCGGAGCAAGTGGCTGGAGAGCTACCTGCTGTACCTGAAGGAGATAGGCGCGCCGGAGGCCATGCAGGCCCGGGCCGCGCTGCTGCAGCTCTGGGCCACGCAGGTGGGCACGGCGCGCGGGCGGGTGCGCGTGGCTGCGGTTGGGCACGTGTGTGTGTGCATACGGACGTGCACGCGTGGGCATGTGCATTTGTGTTCCTCCACATGAGTGTGGATGCGGGTGTGGGAACGTACCCAGCCGTCCACCCCAGTTCCCGCACTTTCTTCACTATCAGACAGTATCATGAACAGGATCATCCAGTATTTATTTTAATTTGGAAAATTGTCAGACTTAGAGAAAAGCCGTGTGAGTAGTTGAATAAACGTACACAGTTCACCTTGAGTTCCCCGTTTTTAACATTTTATCCCCTGTGGCTTCTCTCTCTCTCCCTCTCCCCTCCTTTTCCTTCCCTTCTTCTTCTTCCTCCTCCTCCTCCTCCCTCTCTCCTACTGCGGTTATTTTACTGAATCGTTTGCAAACAAGGAGCAGACGTCGTGACTCTTTATCCCTAATTACTTCAGTTCCTAAGAGCAAGAAGTTTCCCTTACGTGACACAGTACAATGATCACATTCAGGACAATTAACCCAGATACGGGATCGTTATCTAATAGACAGTCCCACTCAGCGCCACCACTTTTCCCAACAGTGTCCTTTAATGCCTCATCTTGGTCTGACATCCAATCCGGGATCACGTGGTGCCTTTAGTTATTCTGTCTTTCAAGTTTTCTTTAATGTGGAACCGTTTCTGTGCCTTTCATTGTTTTTCACGACCTTGACATTTTTGAAGTGTGCAGAACAGTCATTTTGAAGAATTATTTAAAAGTTCCATTGAGTACTTACCGTAGACCTCAAAGACCTGCTTTTGTTGCTTAGGTTTTAGCTGCTGCTGCTGGGGGGGGGGGGGAGGTCAGACAGTCAAGGAAGTACATACAGGGTGATTCTATTTTATTTATATTTTATGTTATTTTTATTTTTAAAATTTATTTTGAGAAAGAGAGAAAGTGTGTGTGCACCTGCATAAGCAGAGCAGGGGCAGAGAGGGAGGGAGGGAGGGAGAGAGAGAGAGAGAGAGAGAGAGAAAGAATGAATCCCAAGCAGGCTCTGTGCTGTCAACGAGGAGACTGGTGAGATCATGACCTGAGCTGAAATCAAGAGTCAGATGCTTAATCAACTGAGCCACCCAGGTGCCCCATACAGAGTGAATTTAGATGTGGTTATACAGGATGTAAAATGGAGTCAGCAATACAGAGATCCTGGGGGTCTGTTGTCACCAAAGTGGTGAGGGAGGACTCTCTGAGGAGGAGTTTGGCTGATAAGAAAGAGCTGAAGTTGGGGGCTTGGGAAAGATGTGGGAATAGAGCATTCCAGGTAGGGGAAACAGCAAGTGCAAAGGCCCTGGGGTTGCATCATACCCAGTGTTTGGGCAACAACAAGGAGTTGAATGTGCCTGAAGCAGGGTGAGGAGGGCGGTGGGAGTGAGGGAGGCGATTATGAACGGCAGTATGGGTCCCAGTGAGTAAGGACTTGGGAATTCTCTCTGGGTGAGGTGGGAGCCCTGGGAATGTTCTAAGCAGAGGGAGGTCAGCTCTGAGGAACAAAGGCAGAAGCAGGGACACCAGTGTGAGGGTGGCAGTAGGACCAGGTGGTGGCCATGGAGGTGATGAGGAAACTCTGGAAACAGAAGATGGTGCCAGTGGAGATGGCAATGGACCAGATACTGGGGTGAGAGAGAGCAGGGCTGAGGCTGCCTCCTCTGGAGGCCTGGTGCCAGCTCTCTCCTGGGTCCCAGAGTCCCGCACCTTCTCTCAGCCGCTCCTCAGCAGTAACAGCTGCACAGACCAACGTTTCTGGGTAATTCCCTTCCCATCGACTTGCCGCTTATTTTTAGTTTTCTCTCAGAGCCATTAACTGTCCCTGAAGGCGAAGGCTGGCAAGGGGCAAGGGCTGGGTTTAATCAGCAGTTGGGGCCCCATTAGTGCCTAATAACATATTGATGGGCAGAGACCTGGCGCTCCCAACTGCCCCCAGAATCCCTTGCAGAATGACCTCTGTCAGCAGAACTGGATGCCGGCTTCGGAGCTTGAGTGGCAGAGAGTCTGGGGAGCGGCCTTTGGTGGGGCCAGGACAACTGAGCGGGGCTTGGGGACAGGACATCCTCTGACTCTGAGTCGTCGGTGGCGTGCAGAATTCGGGCAGGTGAGAAGGCACTTCGAGAGCTCGAGTCTTGAGAGCAGCCGAGATGCTGAGAAGCCCTGTGGTGTCGGGCACAGACTCTGTGAGCAACCTGCGTGGATTTGAACCATGACTTGGCCACTCCCTGGCAAACCAGTCACTTAAGTTCTTGCTGCCTCAGTTTACTCAGCTGTAAAATGAAGACAACAGTCAGTACCTTTTTCAAGGCGCTGGGCTGAGGGTGGGAGAAAGAGATGATGGAAAACCTGTAGTTGTACCGGGCAGGTAGCTAGAGCTCAGTAGACGTGTTCAACAGTTATTTAGTGAATGCCCACCATGTGCCGGGCACCATTCTAGAAGCTGGGGATAGAGCAGTGAACAGACCAAAGATCCTTCCCTTATGAAGCTGATATTCTGGGAGAAGACAATTGGTAAACAAGTAAGCACATAAAGTATAGTCAACGTACTAAGTTCTGTAGAGAGCCAGTGAAGTGGAGGGGGGGTGGGGAGGGGCTGCTTTATGTAGGTGGCCAGGGAAGACCTCACCAGGAAGGCCACACCTGAGCAGAAATATAAAGGGAGGGAGGGAGCCATATAGATACACAGGCTGAAGGCATCCAAGCAGAGGGCATAGCCAGTGCAAAGGCCCTGAGGGGGGGATCAGGGTGATGTGATAGAGAGGTAGCAGGGCCCTGTGGGCTTTGGGGAGGGCTTTGGCTTTTACTGTGAGAAAGGAATTCCTTGAGGACTCTGAGCAGAGGAGCACCGTGGCCTGCCATCGCTTTAGAGGGATCATTCTGGCTCCATTACTGAGAGTCGACTGTAGTGGGGGACGTGGAGGCAAGGAGACCAGAGATGAGGGCGCTGCCATGTCCAGGCAAGAGAGGATGGCGCCGAGGCCCAGAGAGAGAGAATGAGTGTGTTCTGCACACGTTTACAGGTAGAGCCGACAGGATTGGCTGTTGGACGGGACGGAGAGAGGGTGCTCACAGCGATGCTTCCAGGCTTTGGCCCGAGCAACAGGCAGGATGCAGATGCTGTTCACGGAGGAGCAAGATGGTGAAAGGGGCAAGTTTGTGGGGAGAAAATCAGAGGGTTGGTTTGGAGTGTGCTGGGTTTGGGACCGGGCAGCTGGCGTGGAGGACGTGGAGTTCAGGGTTGAGGTCCAGGAGGCAGAGGTGCATTTGGGACTTGCTGGCGTGGTTGATCCAGTGGCAGTCACTGGACTGGGGACTGCAGAGGCTCAGGGGATGAGCAGGGACCCAGCCCCTGACCTCCCTGGCTGCAGGGGTCAGGAAGATGGAGAGGAGTCCGCACGACCGAGGAGGAGTGGTCCATGGGCTGTGGGAGGGGAGCCTGGAGGAGGGTGCCCACAGGCTCCGCTGCAGAAGGATTTCTGAGAGGCTTGTCAGATCACAGTGGAGTCCGGAGGCTCAGCACCCAGGGGCCTAGAGGGCCACCCAGTGGGCTGAGGTCCAAGGCCCAGGTCCAGGCTCTGAAGGGGCGAGGTGGGCAGAGAGAGTTCACGAAGGCCTGGCAGCCCAGGCTTCCCTCCTGGCTCTGAGCCTTTAGTTGGGGAGGCGACCATGCAGACCCTAAAAAAAAATTTTTTTTAATCACAAAAAATGGAAAGCAATTTCACCTGTGATCTCCCATCCCTCGGTAGAGGGTGGCCGTGAAGGGTGCCAGCAGCCCCGTGGAGGAGGGCCTCTCCTTCCCAAGGATTCTCCCACACACCCCAAGTCTGAGGCTCATTGGCCCAGCCCGGGTCGCAAGTCCTCTCTAAGTGTATCACTGAGTGGCCCAGACCTCCACCTGAGGTCTGGAGGGCGTGGAGCAGCCCCAGATGATCAGAGTGAAGTGGAGGTAGGAAAATGGGTGCTGTTATCCACAGGCAAGGGAGTGGACACAGGGCACGCAGGATGCAAGTGTCCCCCACTCCTACTGACTGGTGAGGTGGCCACAAAGTGGCGCTCGGGATCCCGGTGCTGCGTCTGGTGCCCTGTGAGCGCCCCCTGGAGGTCAGCTACTGCCATTCACGGAAAAGGTAAAGGGGAGGACAGGTGCTCCTGGGTGAATGGACTTCGGCTGTAGGGGTAGGGAATGAGGCTAGACGTGACATGTCCTCATGGGTAAACTGAGGCAAGGAGCTATGGGAGAGAGCTCAACCTGCAGGGTGGTGACTTCAAGCTCTCTTGTAGAGGAGTGATCACATACATGTGCACACTCACACGTCTGTGCGGTGGGTGGAACGTACTCTTTGTCACTTCTCTAACTTGCCACAGCTTCTTCTGGAAGGCAGAGATCACTGAGAAGCCTCATGCTCCCCTCATGCTTTGCGATTAATGAACAGTGGCCCCCATCAGACTGTCCAGGCAAGACAAAATGGCCTTGGCACTGAGTTCACCCAAGGCTGAATTATTTATCACCTACACCCCCCTGGCGATTTAAGTGATGGACAGCAAGTGACCTTGCTGGTCTCTGTAGGAGCTAAGGTGCCAGAGGAAATCTCAGAGTCCAAGGCCCCCGCCTTGTTCTCACATGGGGTAGGGGGGCAGAGGCGGGGTTCAGGGAGGAGAAACCACTTATGAGCACCTGCTCTGTGCCCAGCGGGTGGAGATGGGTTGTATCCGGTCTCAGGGAGCCCTTGCGGCCATCCCAGGGGTCAGCATGTTACCCCATTTTACCAGGAGGGAGGTTTTGAGGCCCAGAGTGGGAAGTGGCTTGTCCAGAGTCACAGACAGTGGGGAGCTGGGATGTGAACCCAGCGGTGCCGCGTCCAGTCCAGGGTTCCGCCAGCTTTTACCTCTCAGGCTGCCTTGGACATAGAGGTTTATTCGATAAATACCTCTGAGCTCCTGCTATGTGCTGGGACTAGGGAGTGCTTAGTTTGTCTTTTCAGTGAAACAGGTGACAATGGTGCCTGCTTGAGGGAGAAGTGAATGAGGAAACATGCCACTTCCTTGGTGCTGAATTCACAGTAGCTAAAGAAAAAAAAACCACAGAAAATCTGTTTCACCATCATTGATACGTTGGTCCATTTGTTTTCTGCCTTTTTCTGTGTATGTTTTTTTTTTTTTTTTCTGAGATGAGGATCATGGAGTTTTTATTTTTTTAATTGTTTTAAAGTTTATTTATTTACTTAGAGAGAGGGAGTGTGCACGAGCAGTGGAGGGGCAGAGAGAGAGAGAGAGAGAATCCCAAGCAGTCTCTGTACTTTCAGCGCAGAGCCCGATTCGGGGATCGATCTCGCAAACCATGAGGTCATGACCTGAGCTGAAATCAAGAGTCAGATGCTTAACCAACTGAGACACTCAGGTGCCCCCAAATCATGCAGTTTTGAAAATCCAGTTTTAATTTTATTTAATACTGTGTCATGAGCATTTCTTCATGTCATTGAAGATCAGTATAAAAATCATCCCATTTTTGTTTGGCTTAAAAGTACTGCATCCATTAAAAAAATTCGAACAGTGTAAAAGGGCATAGGTTGTGAGAGTCAGTACCCACCATTCCCCCCAGCCCTCCCCACTTAGGTCCCAGAGGCTCCTTGTAGAGATGGTCTGTGCTTCCTCATGGGAACCCTCTTCAGACATACGCACAGATGGGAGCACAGTGAACCCGTTCTGCGTCCCCCTGTGGTTCAGGGCACCTTGGCTACTGTACCATCAGTACACACAGAGCCAGCTGCCTTCTGATGACTTCCTGTATCGTCGTCCTATGGATGAATTATCGTTTGTCTCATTGATCTATTGATAGACCGGGGTTGCTTCCAGTCTTCTGTTGTTACATCAGCACTGTGATCAATATCCTCATGCAAATGTTCTTTTGTCCGCGTGCAATTACATCTGTAATAGAATTACTGGGGAAATACGGCATTTAATGACTATCATTGAGACAGGATGGCACACAAAAACTGTCCCCCAAATCAAGGTTAGTTGGTATTCCACGCATGCCTGGAGCAAATTTCAGGGTACCCTACGCTCATTTTAGCCGCATGAAACACCTGAATATTAAAATGTTCAGCTAAGGCTGAAAAATCTTGGAACAAGAAATTTAAAAAAAAAATTTTTTTGTAGTTTTTTATTTATTTAAGTAATCTCTACACCCAACGTGAGGCTCAAACCCACAACCCCGAAATCAAGAGCCACATGCTCCTCTGACTGAGCCAGCCAGGTGCCCCTAGAGCAAGGAACTTTAATCCATTTTTCTACTTACTGAACTATTGGGAACTTTTACATAATTTTTGTTCAAGAAATGACTAGCTTTCATGGTCATTGTTGATTATTGCTTCTTTGCGACATATGCACACCATAGTGCAGATGTTTGGAAGTGGACACTCAGGTATTACATCAGTTGCTATTGAACCAACCAGCCACAAGAATCGGTGGTGCACACTGGTGAGTATTTATTTAACTCACATGTGTGTGGGTCTGCTGGACGGGGCTCAGCTGGACAAGCGGCTCCGCCCCAGGCATCGCTCACCCTCCTCGTGGGAGCAGCAAGCCCCGCGCAAGTGCAAACACACCAGGTCTCTTAAGGCCCGTGCTTAATTTTTTTTTAATGTTTTTTTATTTATTATTGAGACAGAAACAGAGCATGAGTGGGGGGAGGGGCCGAGAGAGGGAGACCCAGAATCCGAAGCAGGCTCCAGGCTCTGAGCTGTCGGCACAGAGCCCGACGCGGGGCTCGAACCCACGAACCACGAGATCATGACCTGAGCTGAGGTTGGACACTTAACCGACTGAGCCCCCCAGGCGCCCCTTAAGGCCTGTGCTTAGAGCTGCTGCCCTGTCAGTTCTGACTGATTCTGTTGGTCAAACCAAGTCACACATCGGAGCCAAATTCAGGGCTGGGGAAATAACACTCTGTTTCAGAAATGGGAGCCAGAGCAAAGTCCATGGCAAGGGGCACGGATGCAGGGAAGGATGGAGAATGGGGGCTAAGGATGCAGTCATCCTAGATGTTAACAGTAACCTTCACGATCCACCCTCTTCCTACTCCTGACACGTCTTTGCTGAGTAGCTTTGAAGATCACCTGTGTGAGCTCAGATCCATGATTTTGCTCAAGGTCGGGGACGCCAAGGGCAGCCCTGAAAGTAGGCATTGGGCTACACCAAAGCCCCAGAGCAGATCTGGGCCATGTCCTGAGCTGAAGGTAAACATGAGGCATGCCTGGGTGTTTGGCAGGCGTGGGAACCCAGGCCTTCTGACCCCCCGTGCCTGGGCCAGGGCTGTGTCCCTGGCACGGACAAGTCAGCCCTCGCCCCGGGTGGGCCCTGTTGATGGTATAACGGGCTCCTTCTCGTTGCAGGGCAATATGGGTCCTGCTGCCTTCTGGCTTCTGCTCTTCCTCCTCAAGCACCCCGAGGCCCTGGCTGCTGTCCGCGGAGAGCTCGAGCAGCTCCTCTCCAGAGCAGAAGAGCCTGTTTTGCAAATGACCACCCTCCCACAGAAGCTCCTGGACAGCATGCCTGTGCTCGGTGAGACACTCAGACCCTCCAGATGAGCCCCAAAGCCTGGGTCGTCCTGGGCCCCCTAAGCCCTTCCCGACGTGGACTCCTGTCATCCAGGGTCCCTCAGTGTCCTCTGATCTAGGGTCTCCCTCCTCCTTTCTCCTTAGACCTGGTATCTCCATACCCCTCACTCAGCTGCTCATGGTCTCAGTAGATGTTGGGTCGCAAGTGGCGGAAAACCTAACTTAAACTGGCTGAAGCAGAAAAAGGACTTTATTTAAGGGCAGTAACTCAGAAGTCCAGAGGGTAGCTACCGTCAGGCCCAGGCGGACCCAGGTTTAACACCATCATTAGGACTCAGTCTCTCCCTCTCTGGGACCTGCCCTGCTGGGTTGGCTCTGGTCTCGGGTCGGCAGAAAGGCCACCAGCAGGTCCGAGCTGACCTGCTGTCAGTCCTGTGAGGGGGCGCTTCTCTGAAATGCTCCTCTGAAAAAGTCCCAGGACTGCGTCTCATTGGCTGGCTCTCTCTGAGTCACATGGCCGTCTTGAACCAATTACAGGGTTCAGAGGGTTGGGATGCTCTGATTGGCCAATCACACACAGCCATGTGATGGGGAGCGAGGCCAACGACCTCTGACAGTTGGGAGAGGGGTGATCTCCAGAAGAAAACGAGGGCGCTGTTTCCAGATGGGGAATGTAAGCTGGCCAAACAGAAACAACCAATATTGATGGCCCTGCTCTCCCTAGTCTCCCCTGATATCTCCCTGGCTCCCACAGTCCTTCACATCTTCTAGCATCAGACCCAAACCCTCATAACCAAGATCTGAGGACCATAGTAATCGTATCTCATCCCTTGGCCTTTTTTGGCCTTGCTGTGTGATGATGGGCAAGTTACGCACCCTCTCTGAGCCTGCCCACCTTCCTCTGTAAAATGAGGGCTGGGGATGGCATTTGTGCGTGAGAGAGGATGGCTGCTGACCCTTCCTGCTCCTGCCCATGCAGACAGCGTCCTTAATGAGAGCCTCAGGCTCACTGCTGCGCCCTTCATTACCCGGGAGGTCATGGTGGACCTGGCCATGCCCATGGCAGATGGGCGGGAATTCAGCCTGCGACGTGGTGACCGCCTCCTCCTCTTTCCCTTCCTGAGTCCCCAAAGGGACCCAGAAATCTACGCAGACCCAGAGGTAAGCTGCATGCCAGGGACCGCGGGACAAAATCAGTGGCTTCGGGACTAGCCAGATCTGAGTGGCAGCCCAACTTGCTCCTTGTTTGCTGTGTGACCATGCCCAGATTACTTCACCTCTCTGTGTCTATTTCCTCACCTGTGAAATGGACCTCATAATAGCACCTGCCTCATTGGGTTGTTAGGAAAATTAAATGAGAGCGTGTAAGAAAGGGCTTCACAGTGCCTGGCATGGAGGGAATACTTTGTAAGTGATAACTGAGCAATTTTCTTTTTTCCAGAATGTTATGTCAGCTTCTCAACACTTTTCTCTCTCCGCGGGCTTTGAGATGCGTCAAACTTTCGCAATTTCTAACAGATTTGGGTGCTTATCATGAGCCAGGCCCTGTGCTGTACATCCATCCACATACTCTTCCATATCGATCCACCCACTCACACATCCATCCATTCATCCACCCACCCATCAATCCATCCTTTCTTCCATCCATCCATCCACCCACCCATTCACCCGCCCACCCACTCAGCCTTCCGTCTCTCTATCCACTGCTCCATTTACTTATCCTTGCACCCATCTTTCATTCAGCTCCTACTCTGTGCCAGGCTTTGTTCTCAGACACAGTCTTCACCTTCCATTCTACAATGTAACCAAAAGGAAATTGACATCCTCTTTTTTAAAAAATAATTTTGTTTAAGTAATCTCTAGGCCCAATGAGAGGCTCCAACTCATGACCCTGAGATCAAGAGTCACATGTTCTACCATCCGAGCCAGCCAGGCACCTCTAAAAATAAGTTTAACTTTAAATTTTACACTGCCGAAGTAATATATACTCGTAAAGTAGAAATATACAGACACATATGTTTAAAAGTAAAAATCTTTTCTTCATTCCCTTTATTCTCCACATATACAGAGTTCCCTAACAATGGTTTGGAGTGTATCCTTTAAATTATTTTTATGCCACTACAGACACACACAACGTGCTGACACACATATAAATAAATAAGTGTGTGGACAGGATAACACAATATATGCTATTGTGAAAGTTACCTTTTTAACTTAACCAGAGTCTAAAGAGCCCTTTCTGTGTGAGCACACAAACCAAGGTCTCCTTCCTAAAAAGCTGCAGTGATTACAAAAAATTTTTTTAATGTTTATTTATCCTTGAGAGTGTCAGAGCGTGAGCAGGGAAGGAGCAGAGCAAGAGAGGGACACAGAATCGGAAGCCGGCTCCAGGCTCTGAGCTGTCAGCACAGAGCCCGGCATGGAGCTCGAACCCACGAACCGTGAGATCATGACCTGAGCCAAAGTCGGACGCTTAACCGACTGAGCCACGCAGGCATCCCAACCTGCGGTAGTTCTTTAACCACTGCCCTACTGATTCGCCTTTACTTTGTTTTCAGTTTTTCCCTCTTCTAAACAAGGCTTCAGTGAACACCCTCACACAGTTTACTTCCTGCGTGCCTGTTATGGGGGTGGAACCAGAAATGGACCTCCTTTTATTTCAGGTGTTTAAGTATAACCGATTCCTGAACTCTGATGGGTCAGAGAAGAAAGACTTTTACAAGGACGGGAAGCGACTGAAACTTTACAGCATGCCATGGGGAGCTGGGCACAACCAGTGCCTGGGGAAGGCTTACGCCATCAGCAGCATCAAACAGTGAGTGTGGGGGCGGTGGAGCGGGTGCAGGCCCGGGGTGGGGGTGGGGGGGCTCCTGCTCCAGCTGGTTGGCACACAGCCTCCTCTCCGGAGACCTAGGGTTCTCAGCCAGGAAACTGGGCAGAGGCTCCAAGCAGCCCATGAGCCATCTCCTGCCCACAGACCTATTTATTTGTGTTTTTAAAAATGTGTGCTAACTTTTAAGAATCAGAAGATCTCACAGAAAAAGCCAGATTTCTGATCTCTTTTGAAAGAATCCGATCTGGCAGTGAGCTCTTCCCTCCAAGCCTGGTGTCCAAATACCAAACCCCCAGAATACCAAAGACTGGACGTTCTGCATGTGCAGCTGACCATGGCTGTCCATCCGCAGCTGCTGTGCATGCTCACAACCCTCTCGGCAGGAACTGGCCAAACGTCATTGTTCCCTCTGGGCTAGTTCACCGCCTGTGGGCCGGCGTGCCTTATAAATTCTCTTCCCTGGATCCCAAGAGCCTTGGCCCCCGGACCACAAACAGGGTTATGCCATCTGCCCTGACCTGACCTGTCCCTGTGTAATCCTAAGCTGGGTGACCTTTTGTGCCTGTTTCCTCAACCATTCAGGGCGCGGGTACTGATCCTATTGTATCCCAGGGGTGTCAGAAGGAAGGAATTGGGTCTTCCGAAGTACTTAAGTCACTGCCTGGCTCATTATAGGCATTTAATAAGTGTTAGTTATTATTATAATTCCTAATATTACTATTACTAATGTGTATGAATATGCCAAGTGAATGGGCGCATTGCATTAACCTTTTTGTCTTGGGTTTCTGGGCAGTAAGTTCTACCTTACTGCCTCATGCGCCTTCCTAAAACTCATGCCCCTGTGAAACCACTCAGTAAAGTCAACAGGGATCGTGGGGAAAACGGGGCCGGGGTCCTACAGTCAAAGAAAATTCCTAAGTAACACATGCGGGATAAGAACTCAGGGCAAGGACGGTCGTACAGGTTCACACACGTTGTGGCTGCAGGAGAACTCCGGTGCTGCCGTAAGTGGGGTGCTTGGCTTTAAAAACCACCCAAAGCTTGTTTGTGAAGTGGGCTCTGGGTGAGTTGTAGCTATGAAGTTACTGTGACATGTGGAGGGAAGGAGGGTCCCCTGAAATGGACACCTGCTATCAGAGGTGGCTCCCCAGCCGCCCCGGAGCTGAGATGGCTGGTGGAGAGAGTTCAGGTGTGTGCGGGCGTGGGTGCGGGCGTGGGTTTGAGCGTTCCCGCTCAGTGGGTTCAGCTGGGTGTGGGTTTGCATTCTCCTTGTGCCTGTCATACACGAAGCCCATAGTGAATGAGGAATTTGAACAGGCCTCCTCAGTGCCCCAGTATATCCATCAGGTCAGAACAGACTCGTGTTCAGAAGTGTTGTGGCAGAACTGACTGTAGTTGTTACCTCTTAAAGTTTTTGGACAGATAAAAAGAGATCACAGCTACTAAATGCTTAGCACAGTGCCTTGCACCTAGCGTTTCAGTAAGTTGGCTAATTTGTTGTTTATTTTTTTAATGTTTTTTTTTTAATTTCTGAGAGAGAGAGAGAGAGAGACAGTGCGAGCAGGGGAGGGTCAGTGAGAGAGGGAGACACAGAATCGGAAGCAGGCTCCAGGCTCTGAGCTGTCAGCACAGAGCCTGATGTGGGGCTCAAACTCATGGACTGTGAGATCATGACCTGAGTCTAAGTCGGACGCTTAACCGACTGAGCCACCCAGGTGCCCCAATTTGTTATTTTTATCTCCCTTAACTGCCATGCACCCCTGCTAGATAGGGGTCATTCTGATACCGACTAGAGGTCCGATCATTTGCCACTGTGATCATGCACCTGGTGAGGGGAGGCGCCACGATTCCAATCCAGGTGTGGGCATAGAACTCCACACCCTGTATAAACTTGATCTCTAGCATCCTCCAGCTTCAGAGCTGGGAGGGACCTGGCCCACCTCTTGGACCTTCTTTGACCAGACAGGGAAACTGAGACCCTGGGGGGGGGGGGAAAGCAACTTGGTGAGGGTCAAGAGGCAGAGTTGAGTTCATCCAGCTCTGCTGCCTGGAGGTGTGGACTTGGCTCTGTCCTTGCCTTCCCCCCTCTCCATTCATGAGATTGAAGCATCCTCAGGTCACGGTGGGGGTGGTGGAGGGACACTGGGCAGTGGAAGATCCGGTCCTGACCCCACTGACACAGGCGCAGGAAGTAAGCCAAGGCAGGTGGGCCGGGGCCAGGCCACCTCAGGCGGGGCTGCCTCCGCATTTGCCGGCACACGGATTCCACCCTGCACCTGGCTTGTACGCTTGTCAGGAGTTTCCCCACAGATGCCAGTAAGAGGCTGGGGCAGGGGTACCTTTTCCTAAGCTCACAAAGGCAGCCTCTGGTTTAGCAGCCCTGACCAGAGCAGATGGTGAGGGCTCCGGGGGACAAGGGTGGGCAGGGGGTTCAGTAAGGGTCATGAACGACCCCCAGGTCTCTGGCCACAATAGAGGTGTAGGTCCTGATCCTACGAAGTAGGCTGTGGGTTTAGGGGTCCCTCACCTCCACACGGAGACTCGGGGGCCAGGCTCTTTCTGTCTCCCCGCCCCAGCATGGGGTGCACGCAGCCGCCAGGCAGAGAACACAGTCTTGTGCTGGCTGAGCAGGCTTCTGTGTGGAGTCCACATCTGTCATCTCTGGTCACCGCCTGTCAGCAGGACTGGTCGGCTGGCAGATGTGAAGGAGCCCATGGCCTCTGGGCAGGAAACACCTGTGCTGTTTTTTTTCTCCTCTCGCTTTTCCCAGTGAGAGAGCTGGGGTCGACTCCGGAGGAAGCCATCGCCTCCCTGCCTTATTCCAGAGGAGACCCGAACTCTCCCGGTCCTTCACACCCTCAATACCATCTCTCTGCAGATTCGTGTTCCTTGTGCTGGTGCACTTTGACCTGGAGCTGATGGACCCAGACGAGGAGGTCCCCGACTTTGACCTCAGCAGGTACGGCTTCGGGCTGATGCAGCCGGAACACGACGTGCCCGTCCGTTACCGCCTCCGGCCGTGAGCCCCAGGAGCAGGCAGGGCTCCGGCCCACCTTTTCCTCCACCAGCCTGCCCACCCCCCCCGGCTTTCTGTGTCTGCACTTCCCCTGGGTGCAGGAGCTTTGAGCACTCAGCGGTGCCAGCATGAGCACTTTCCTGATTTTTCCTTAGAAGGCTGTGTCCAGGGCAGGGGAACGAAGGGAAGCTGAGAGGGGGTGAAGGAAGAAGGGACACCAGAAGCTCTGTGAATTGTCTGCTCCACTGGTCGAGTTCCAGAATGAGTCTCTTTCTACTCCTAGCTCACCCTGCTCCCCCCCCTGCCCATGATACCCACAAAAGCCAGGGCACGCAGGGCAGAAGCAGGAGTCTAGATTGCTCTTTGCCCCAGGTCCCCAGAGGGCCAGGTCCTTGACAATGGTGTGGTCCAGGCCTTAGCCTCTCAAAAGCCCATCAAAAGGCCAGTCAGGGCCTAACCATGTGTCCATTGAAATAGACTCTGTTCCCACATTACAATTAAAGTAGCCAAAGCCACACGAGTCCCTTAGACTCTGCTTCCCCAGGTGCCCCATTTGCCAGACACTTGCCGCATCTTCCATTCATACCGATGCTTGAGAAAATTCAGGAAGGTTTTCCCAAAGGCAAATGCAGTCAAGGCATAGAACACTTGCACCTCCCAAAGACTGGGCTCTGTTCTCTGTTCTGGACGAATGGGCTCCAGATGGGAGAGCTTGCCCGGTGTCGAGACTCCAGTAGGGAATAAGAAAGACAGCAGCAGGCTGGCCCCGTTGTCGGAAGGGGCTCCCTGGGCTGGTCGAGCCAGGAAAAGAGGAAGTGTTAGTTTTCTATACTCTAGCTTGGAGGCAGTGGCTGCAGCACGCCCCGCTGGCAGACCTGTTTTGTTCGGCCCAGACTTCCAAAAAAATTCATTAGTTATCCTGCGTCTTTGGGAGAGTCCATTTACAAATGTCCAGATTCTCTTGAAAACGTGGACGATCTGGCCACACTGGGCCCATGTCCCCACGGGCAGCTCTTGGCCAGAGCTGAGAAGCAGCTGCCTCCCTTATCCAGGGCACGTGGATTCCGGCTCACCAGGGTTTCCACTTGGTGGAGACTTTGCTGTTTTTCCGTTCCCAGTGCCCCCGGGCCCTTGAAGGCATCCCAGCCTGAGAACCCTCTTCTGACCCTTAGAAGCAATGCCATAGAAGATGGGGGGAGCCTACTGATCGGTCCTCAGACCAGTGGTCTGCCCTGTCCTGGGTGCACCCCCCCACCTTCGTACAAACAGATCAAGGATGAAAACTTGCCTTTGCATCAGCTTTAGGGGAAAAACAAAAACAAAAACAAGAAACACTGCCTGGAAACATTTACCATGATAAGTATTATTATTAACATTAGGTCCTGTTTATTGAGGACCCTCTAAATGCCTGTGACGGGCTCTGCAGATGCAATATTCCTACTTCTTAGAGCATCTCTGTGGAGAGGGGACGGTTATGCCTTCTTTATGGATGAGGAAAGGGGCTCAGACAGGTGCCGTGCCTTGGTAGGATTTGGCAGAATTCTTGTCCCAGGAGCAAATGCTAGGTGGGTAGCTCTGTGTTCCTGGGGCTCAAGGCGGGTGGTAGAGGGGCAGTTCTGTGTAGCATCGGGGAGCTGACAGAGCCAGGGCACCTCTGGGTGGCTGCATCTCAGGAGACACAGATGCGCGTATGTACATGCAGCTCGGTCCCTGTAGCTCTAGCTAGAGGGAGAAGAGGACCTGAGGCCTCCAAACGTTCCAGGGGCTTGGGGTCTTCCCTGGCCCTCAGCCTCAGGCACCCCCAGGATTCCCAGACAGACACTGGGATTGGCAGGAGGCAGGATACCCCCAGGGAAACCCATCTTCACGCCTGGGTGACCCCCGCTGCCGCCTGCTTCTTAACTCCGCAGGAAATCAGGCTTGGCAGCCTTCTGTGGGAGGACGGAGCCGGTTTCCATGGCAACTGTAGCTGCCTCCTCTTGGCTTGGAAGGGAAGGAAGAAGGCTGGCAGAAATAGCTGCAGGAAGATCTCTAGTGCGGGGCAGCACCCCGGTGCGCTGGGGAAAAGCCCCTATGACTCCCCGCAGATCAGGGCTGCGTGGTCACCTGGTCACCGGGACCAGATTCTCACCCGTGTCCCTAAAAGGCCAGTACCTTTTAAGGTGGCACCTCCTTGGAGCCCCAGTCATTTGGAAGAGATGATTCTCCCACCAGGTAGCCCCAGCTGGTACCAGAGATATTGAAGTAGAGCTTGAGAGAGGATGCTTTCAATCCTCCTTTGTTTTAATCTTTATTCTTTTTCCCTTTTTTTGAAAAAAAAGTCAATATAAATATAAAGTATAGAGAAAAGAGGGAAAGACGAGTGTGTGTGCTCCTTGCTACAGGTCAGTTAGGAAGGTACCCGGACATCATTGTATTTCTTCATACTTTGCTTTAGAATCACAAACTTGCAGAACGCATGTTGGAAATGCTCTTAGGTTCAGGTGCCTGAGTGGCTCAGTTAAGTGTCCGACTTCGGTTCAGGTCATGATGATCTCATGCTTCGTGGGTTCAATCGCCGCATCAGCGCAGAGCCTGCTTCGCATCCTCTGTCCCCCTAGCTCTCTGCCCCTCCCCCACTCACACACGTTCCCTCTCCCTCTCTCTCCTTCTTTCAAAATAAATAAACATTTTTTTTAAAAAAGTGCTCTTAGGTTGACCTAATGAAGTCTTTTCTTCCCATTGTCTTTTTTTTTTTTTTGCTATATTTTGTAGTGTTGTTTACCAGATATTTGCCTTTAAACAGACTCCTTTTTTACACTTAAATTTGCTTAAAAGGGGAACTTTATTCCATCACTGCCAGTAACGGACAAGGGACAACATGTATCTCTCGCTGCCAAAAATAGAAAGTGGCTGTGAAGTATAAATTTGCTGGGGTGGGAGGGCCTCTGTGCCGTTTCGCCAAGGCTCAGAGCCTGAGGTCTGTCTCTTCTCTGTTACTAAATGAGACAAGGAAGCCTTGCAGGTGCCTTAAAGCCAGGCCATCATCACCCGAGACCCGCTCCTTGACAGTCACAACTGAAGGAGTCAGGGTGTGTGTCTGAGCCACGCCCAGGGTCTTCTCCTGCCCCCAACCAGCCCTGCCCACAGTGAGCTGGGGACGCCCCACCTGCCCATTCTCCGGATGGAGAAACGGGCTCTGGGAGTTGAAGTGTCTTGCCAAAGTCATGGATTTTGATGCGTTCTGGTTTTGGATTTGTTTTTTGATAAACACCGTGTTTCGGGAATAGTAGCGATGATTATGCCTTGCTGTTGTAATAGTTGTATTTTCATATACTATTGTTGAATGGAAATGTGCTGAAATGTATTAAATCATCCTTGTTTGTCGAACTGCCTCTGAGTGTGATTTAGGTGGAGAGTCGGCCGTGACCGGAACGGCAAGGTTGGTTTCTGGGAAGAGAGCGCAGAGCACCTGCCGTGCGCCTGCTTTGGGACAGGGCCTTGAGAATCAAGCCACACCTCCCGCCGCCCTCCATATACGACCATCTCCGTTTTTGTAGATGAAGAAACTGGCTGTGGGAGAGGTGAAGGGGTTTGCCCAAGACCACATGGCTAATTAGTAGCCACAAGAGTTGAGTGCAGGGGCGCCTGGGTGGCTTAGTCGGTTAAGCGTCCGACTTTCGCTTAGGTCATGATCTCGCTATTTGTGGGTTCAAGCCCCGCATTGGGCTCTGTGCTGACTGCCAGCTCAGAGCCTGGAGCCTGTTTCAGTCTGTGACTCCCTCTCTCTCTGACCCTCCCCTGCTCACGCTGTCTCCCTCTCTCTCTCCTAGAAATAAATAAAAACATTAAAAAAATTAAAAAAAAAAAAAAAGAGTTGAGTGCAGGTGCCTCTGCCTCCGGAGACGGTGTTCAAGATCTTTCTATCAACCATCCTACTGATGGCAGAAGAGGCCTGGGTGCCCATAGAGGACCTCGGGGAGGGGCTCACAACCCAAAATAAGACAAGCAGGAAAAAAATCTCTTAAAAATTCACTGGAGGTTCACTCTCCTTCACCATAATCTATGCACTTGTCCTAATATAATAAAGAAGAGGGGAAATGAATTAGGTCTGGGAAAGATAAAAAAGAGAAGATTGTTTTTTCTCCTCAAATCTTTGAGTAAAAAATAATTTCTGGAGGCAAATGCCCCTCACATCAAGTTCCTCATCCTCGAGGGGGCATGGAAGCAGGTTCGGTGGGATTGAACTTGGCTCTAATAGACCTCTCAAGTAAGACAGCAACATTTTACACACAAAATGTTTACATTCAACACCGATGTTTCTTTCCCTTCCGTGCAGATTTGGGACACCAGAGGGGGAGATTTGGGACACCAGGCCCTTCTGGTCACCCCCATGTCCGTGGGGGGGGGGAGAGGGTGCCCAGTGGGGAGAGTAGGTGGTGTGCTGTTCTCTTGCCCTGGGAGCCCCCCTAGGACCTCAGTGTGGCCTGCGTGGCCTGGCAGAGATAAGGCAAGGGTCCCCACACAGGCAAACCTGAGAACGCAGCCCTTGGGGCATCTGGATCCTTGTGAAGAACAGGCTGTATGTATGACTTTATTTCAGGGGTCCTGAGAGCTGCCCACAGAGGGAGAAATCCTGATTGCTTGGCCACAGGCCAAACCCCAAATATCCCTGTGAAAAGAATGCTGGCTTCCTTCACATGTCAGGGAGCCATGTGCGCAGAGAAAATGACTCCAACCTCCAAACCAAGACCTGGGACTGAGCCAAAGACAGGTCTCAGGCCCGTCTAGTCAGTGATTGGGCTAGCAGCTGTCATGTGACCCAGTACAGGCCAATGAGATGATCGGGAAAGTCTGTGGGGAGCTTCAGAAGTGAGGGAGAAGTTCCTCCTTCCGCTTTCTCTTGGGGTTGCCTTGGCCAAGGTGGCCATCTTGTGATCATGAAGATACGAGAATCTTGGGAGAAAACCAAGAATCCTGAGGTCTCTCAGCTGCTGCTGTGACCGACCCTGGCATCACCTACTTCTGGATTTTGTGTTAAATGGAATAATCAATGTCCTCACTGTTTAGGCTCTACGTAGGGACCACACACCATAGTGGTTAAGAGCACAGGCTCTGCCTGGGTGGGACTCCCTGCTAAGCCACCCAGCACCAGGGTGATCTGGGTCATCTCTCTGTGGTCCAGGTCCTTCACCTGTAAACTAGGGATGATGGATAATAATGACATTGGGTTTTGGGAGCACTGGATGTGTTAATCTTATCACTCACAGCCAGTGGAGAGACAGAAAAAATGAGTATCCTAAGTTAGCCTGAAAAGAGACTTTCCCAGAGGAAAGAGAAACTAATCCAGATGGTGAGGAGGCAGGTAAGGGACACTGCATCTGGACTTTGGAAGTGAATAGGAGCCCACCGTGTGGGGAGAGCGATGGCTGGAGTTGGAGGAACAGAACAGAGTGAACAAAGGCCC